CAGCGTGGCCGGCTCTTTTATAAGTAGAGCCTGCCCGAAAGCCCTAGTCAAATTGATGACTCTCGGCAGCCAGCCGCCGAGAATTGTGATTGGCTGAATTTACGTTGACGACAGTTTGATTGACATGTTACGCTAATTTATTCAAATATTTAAACCTGTCGGCTAAAATATAAAATTCAAAAGACAAAGTGTAAAATGTATAACATATACCGGTATCTAAACAGAATACGGCAAGCCATACTGCTATTACTGCATATGTCGTATGATTTTACCGTATGGTCACTATAGTATAGAGCATAAAACCTTGGCTGTCCTTGCCTTGTTTATATTTTGCTGGCTGGCAAATTACGATTATATAAAACAATACATTCCCCATTGTGTTTAATACACCATAATAATACGAAGCTCTCTTTGGAGCTTTTAAAATACATTTGCCTGCCAACGTGTATAACACGGGAAGGGGTCTATTTAAACTTTTCCTAAGTCATTATATTTATTACTGCAATATTTATAACTGTAGTACAGCCATACAGGTGCAAAGCATAATATAATTTTGAACGGTCTTCGTCTACTACTAATTTCCAGACAAAGTCGAAGGGCCTTCGCTCGAAATGCCGACGTTTTGCTTGTATTTCCAGGCAGTTGAATCGCTATCCATCTATTGTAAAAAGTTTATTGAGAGCATGTAGCGCAGGCCGATAGTAAAATATGCAACAATTAAAATTTTAAGTCATCAATTTATACAAAACTATTTCGAGTGGGCGGTGTTAATATGGAATATTAACTAAGTGGGCGGCATCAATTTGACTAGGGCTTTTGGGCAGGCTCTACTTAGTACTTATAAAAGAGCCGGCCACGCTGGCTATCAATTTGACTAGGGCTTTAGGGCAGGCTCTACTTATAAAGCCTGGTTCACATTGATCGTAAACATCGGCGATGCCCATTGTCGGTGATCATTGATGCATAAAATGTTTTGTGCATTTTCTTCTTCGTTGCTTAAAGACAATGGATCGTAGAACATCGCCGATCAATGTGAACCAGGCTTAAAAGAGCCGGCCACGCTGGCTAGAGCAGTGCTTGCGTGCTCGCCTATTTTCCCACCTCTGCTGATTGCTTCAATCAGTTATCGTAAAAGCTCAGTGACATGGACAGAGCGTTAATTGGTACGTTAAATTCTCTAGAAATAATCCTCAAATAAAAAAAATCTTCAGTTTGTACTTGGCATTTCGACACGATGCCACAACCTACCAGCGCGATCCATCCTTGCCTCTAAATCACATTTCTCCTTCTTAAGCGCCTCGATTTCCTTCTCAAGTGACTTTCCCTAAAAAGTGGAAATTAGTGGATTAGCTATAGTTGAGTCCCACGCAATGGAAAAGTCGTCAGAATTCATGAACCCATTACAGAAACCAGGGTTTATATATCCTTTACTTGGAAAAGGTATATGATTTAATTTGGTTGTACAATTGTAGAATGACGTAACAAATGTGGTATGGCAAATACATTTTTAGCCAATCTGAGACATCTGATTTTCAAAATTTTCTGGGGCACCATGCTCCAAAATTCCCACAGTAGTATCCATTTTTTGGCATCTGTAAATTTACCTTAGGATCAGTCCCCTGATGTACAGTATGTTATCTAAATTAGTTTTATGTTATATACCTTATAATATAGCATGACATTAAGTTTGACAACTTGTTATAGTGTTACACAGTTACAGCGTTCGAGTGTCGATTTACTTGATTATTCGCAGAAAATTGCGGTCCCAGAAAGTGAAATATTTTTTCCACCCTTGGACTTTGAGTAAAACTTACAATTAAAGAGTTCAATTAAAACTAGTATAAAAGCACATGTAATTTTCCCACGCTAGCAACTTCCAGACTGAAATATCGAAGTTTTGCTTACATTTTTTCAGGTGGTACAGTAGCTGTCAGAAATTGTATTTCCATACTATTTCCAACTGGGCACCATTATACTCAGTGGTGTAGTCCGAAACTTTTAACAAGGCGGACTCATCGCCTTCTAGGAAAGCCTTGAGGCATGAATCACCGCAATTTTGTTATTCTAGGTAATCTAGGGTCTCAGAAAAACTATTTCCTGTATTTTAAATGGTGTTATAAAGTCCATAGTTATTAATATTATTTAAAGTATATATCGTATTAAAATAAGAAAATAAAATCTAGGGCTCATTAGACATAATCAGCTAGGGCTCAATCGTCAGAACTCAGAATACCATCCTGGATATAAGGAGAAATAGAATTACTGGTGTGACATTAAATCTTTGTTTTAAATGTATTAACATATATAACAGCAAATTCGCAGAAATATGTTATGTTTTCAAAGATTATTTCTGTCTTGATAAAAATCTTAAGGGCACCCCTCCCCCAAACTGGAAGAAAATTTTAACAAGGGGGTGCAGTCCCCATGAGCCCCCTTCCACTACACTACTATTTTATTAAGTGATCAGTCATGAGAAAACATCACGCTGGTTGTATTAGATAGATAAGGTTTATACAGGTATACTTATATAATCGAAAAAGTAAGGCCTGTTTCATACGTCGCACTATCGTCGAATCCAATTCAGACGAATTTAATTGAATGAATTAAATGCGACGGTAGTGCATCGTATGAAACGAATTAAATTCGTCTGATGAATTGAATTCGCCCAAGTTGTTTTATCCGCCATAGTCAGACGGATATACAAAGTCTGTAGCGCGTCTTCGTTTCATACGACGTGTTATCGTCGTGTCGAATTTAATGCATAAATTATGTTTAAAGTCTGTTCTCTCTTTCTGATCTCGTGGTTTTTATTTTTGGGTACTCCATGATCGCGCTAGTCTTGAAATGAATTCGTCTGAATTAAATTCGTCGTTTGAAACGAAACCATTTTAATGTTGACCAATTTAATAACGAATTAAATTCGTCTGAATTAAATTCGACGTATGAAACAGGCCTAAAAAGCATCAACTTATATCAGTACCTGGATATGCATATCATGCAGTTTCTTCACCAGCTCAACCTGTTGAGTCTGAAAAATAGTTTGAAACATAAGATCAGCGAAATTGGTATAGACAAATAGGTTTGAATCAGCCGAAAACACGTATGATTTCACATGTGAACCTTTACTTTACTTTACTCCTGCACAGGCAGTGAGAAATTACTGAAACTCGAATTTCATATGAGAACTCTGAATTCCATATATAAAATGCGCATTTTCATATGTGAAATGTTCAAATTCCACAATACTGTAACTTGCATTATTATGTAAAATCATTTGTGAATTGTCATATTTAAGAAGATAATTTAGTAACATTTAGCGCAATAGACCTTATGCATAATGACGTCACAAGGCTTGATGCCCGCGAGGAATGCTGGTCTTAGTAGTCATCGCCCGGGAAAATATCGATAGTGGCCATTTTGAATTGTTTAATTTTCCCGGGCGATGACTACTAAGACCAGCATTCCTCGCGTGCATCAAGCCTTGTGACGTCATTATGCATAATGTCTATTAAAATCCAGGTTCGCAGTCATGGTCAGAAATAATAGCTAAAGCCGTGGCGGAGACCAGGAAGGGGTGTCCCCCCCAATATTTTCTGAAACCTTTGAATGATAGTTGGATAACTGTTAAACAACGCTATACTATAGGCTATATACATACTGCATGCTATACAGTATATAACGTATAAGGCAAAAAAGTATAGAGATTCCCCCTCCCCCCTGCAATATTTCGGGAAGTGAATGCCACTGGAACTTTTAATACTACCATTGTTGTATACTGTAATCTGTGGTAAACGACATATTTAGTGTGAATCAAAACATCATCAACGCAAAATATTTTATTGAACTTGATGAACTTGACAAAAAGGTAAAAAAAGGTGATGTTTTTAGCCTACCTTTGACGCAAGTTTCTGATCCAGAATTGACAATTGTTTGATTATGTATTCATTTCTATCCTCTATAGAATGAGACTTTTTTCCTACATATAAAGAGAAATTGTTGGGTTCAATTTTGTTGGAAATTTCAATATTGGACTCAGACGAATCTACGTATAACCAATACCGTCCAAAATCGACCTTTGATTCTATTGAACAAAATACTTTTCAAATGGTTAAAACCGATTAAAAAGTAAAAAGGCAAAAATATTCAAAGAACTAAGATTCCCAGCACTAAAGGTGATCATAGGGTTTGCCCCCCCCCCCCCATCTGACTAATGTTCGTCAAATGAAATAAAATGTTCCACATTTGATCAATTCGATCCATTCGACTTTCTCTGCTTTGCTGTCTACATGTACAGCTCGTCACCATTTGATTAGTACAGGTACTTGTCGAATGGAATAAAATTGTGTCCATTTGATTCATCAATTGACCAGCTTTGATTTGCGTTCTTATGAACAGCTGTACACCGTTTGACCATTCCTCAACCACCTGTAGTGTGTCGAATGGGAGAAAATGGTGTCTATTTTAATTAGTGCTTGGATTTTTATTTCCATTTGATTCAATTGGTCGTAATTTGTGTGTGTTGGTGTTATATACTCAGGTGAATATGATGTTTGTGATGTTACTCTGAGTGTCCATCCACACCGGGCAAGCTGAAAAGTTTGCTTGGCTACGGCGGGAATCGATGGGATGGCAACAATATATATTGTTACTTACCGTCGGACGTGGGCTGCTTCTAAATAAAAAGCGAAATTTTAGTTTCTTTATTATATACAAACATTACAATGAAGAATACATTTAAATATTCTACAAATTTTATTATCCATAATTCCTGGCCAGTGGTGTAACTTAACGCGGCCAAAGCAATGTACATGCATGTCACAGGCAAGTATAGCAGTTTCTTCTTGGTTGCTATCTTGTATAGTACAAAATAATACATATATTTGCACATTTCAAAATCACAGGTAATAGTGTCACTCCCAGAATTAAAAAGTCTAAATACAAACAAGTTATTCGGTTTGCCCATGAGTTGATTGCATGAGAGCTCAATTTTTTGTTATCAGTTTAGTGCATGCTGAATGAAATTCAGTAAATTGTAGTGAAGATTAAATTTTATTCAGGAAAAGCAACTAGTTTATAACTTAGCAAATGGCCAAAACGTTTAGTTACACAACTATCAGTTATCGCAATATACTTTCCCCACCTGTTGGTCAAACGCTTCAGCACCATCACTCCAGTTTAACAACATGGGATCCTGTTCCCCCTGGGTCCTAAAAAGATCTAAGGCGGACTCGAGCTGACAGATGTACTGCACGTACTCCTCGCTGATTACGAACTTGCGATAATATTTTTCCTCCATTTTCTGATAGATTTCTATTTGGGCTTCAAAGAATGCACTATCGTCTTGTTCATCACTCAAGTGGGATTCCATTTTCCGAACGAGAGTGGAATCGATGCGCACGGCGTGTTTTGCAGAAGGCACAATGAATAGATTATAGATATCCTTTGCACTGTCCTGAACTTTGTCTGGCTTAACTTTCTTTAGTTGCTTCATATTTTCAACAGCCATCCAAAACCTAAAGAAACAATAAAACTCTATTAATTCTGGCAAACAGAGAAAGAAACTCGTTTTTCATTGTCTGCAACAAACTTGGAGCATTACATGTCCACAGAAAATATTGAACCAAACATTTTTACGCATGATTTCCAAGAAAATCCTTGCCTAAAAAACTCTTTCCTGTACTTGCGAAACGAAAGCTGTATGCTACACATTGAACCAAACAGTTGTTTGAAATTAAAATAATAGTTAATGATGACTAAAAGTGAATTTTGAATTATTAAAAATAGATTATTATAGAACGAAATATTTATTGTGTTAATTGACTGGTGGACTTGTGTCGATCTTTTTGGGGTAAAAGCAATGTTAAAACATGAAATATATTTATCAGTCTTTTGGTCAGAACGAACGGACAAACATTTTTCAACAATTTATACTGAAGAGAACATGGTGGCTTTAAGCTATTGTATATTGAGAGTCTGAGAGGGTGGCAAGCTTTCAAGGTCCTCCGAAACCGATCTCGTAAGATGTTTACATCCGGTAAAAATCGTTGGGTAACAATTTTCTCCTATGCAAAGGAAACCATGCCAATTTATAAGCCTCCAAGCTTTTGATTTTCCATTTTATAAATAAATGTCATTGATGATACCTCGACATGTAGTCGACATGTACCAAGTTCTAGCCAGGTGGATTTTTATTATGCTCGATATAATGACTTCTAAATTTGTCTCTTCTGAATACAATGCTATATATAACAGGTATAGGTTTCACCAAGCACCATCGCGCAACAGACAACGGTTAACCAACAGTTATCAGATTAGAATTAAAACATATATATATATATATTGTTATTGTAATTATACGTGATAATCAGGCATTTGACGGTAGGTAAATAAAAGAAATTGCTTTAATTTGCTTAGTCGCCAACACATCTCACGTTGATCAGTGCTGCTCTGCGAGCTTTAACTGAAACCCGCGGCTACCAATTTCACAACCCCCACCCCCTGAACGTCAACATCGTGCTATAAACACATCTTGTGGCACTACGAATTAGCCATTTCCCAATCGAGCAGAGGACTGGGTCTAGTTGATGTTTGGAGGGACAACAAGTTAGCTAGGGACAACGAGCGAGCTAAATATACATTAAAAGCAGGTCAGTTATATAATTGATTAAAAGATGCTGATTAAAAGATGATTAAATCGAACATCTGATTAAAAGACGCCTTATTATAATTTAATTTAATTTAATTTAATTTAATTTAATTTCTAATACATGTCGATTGTCAATTACAACAAAAGTCAATAGAATGTATCTGGGAAGCCAACAACAGAATTCATGATTCCCTTACCACTGGTACCCACCAAAAAAACTAATTTAACTAACTATCAAATAAGTAATAAAAGTCGATAATAATAACTAAGTCTAAGGATTCCAGTCAATATGAAAACGATCATAATATATATATATATATATATATATATATATATATATATATATATATATATATATATATATATATATATATATATATATATATATATATATATATATATATATATATATATATATATATATATAGGCTGCACAAATAACTTTAGGAAGGTAGGAAAACTTCCTAGACCCAATATTCGGCATATTGTTTATTTTTTGTCCTTCCAAACAAGTGACTAGATCCAGTCCTCTGCTCGAATGGGAAATGGCTAATTACCTCAACATATGATCGGCTCCATTATGTCCAAGAAACTGCATGAAATAACTCCGTGCCAAACTATTGTCAATAATCTCAGCGTACGTCAATATCTTCTGTTGCTTTGCCTGCTTCTTGCGTCTCGATGACAAATTCCCATCATCCAGCTTGACATCCCCAGAATTTTGGCTAGTATAGTCTGGCCCGCCAAGCATCTTGATTCTTTTTTCGCATTGTGCTTTGGCTACCGTACATTGATTGATATATCGCTTGAGATTACGAGCTCGAAGCATCTCACCTTTATCATATGACTGGCCATGACCAGTCTGATCAACATGTAGGCCTTTGAGATTGTGAATGCTCGTCGCTTGCATGATTTCGGCGATAATGTGGTATCTGCAATTATATAATGAACGACAAAATTTGTATAGCAGAATAAATATCCCCCCAGATAAAAGTCTTCAAATGGGATGCAGCGTGGACGACAGTGTAAAAGGAATAATTTCAGTCCTCAGTGGCACCCAGAGGGGGTGAGCAAGAGGGCAAATAGAAGGACCCCAAATAAAAATAAAGTGAAATATGCATCGTGATAGTGCGTCAAATAATCTTAGTAAGAATAAAATTCCCAGGAATTTGCCATTCCTGGGATCCTGGATTTCAAGTAACATTTATACTATATGTACGAAATGCAAATGAATGTTAATTAAATGTTCAGAATTATGGATGTTATCCAGCTGTCTGTCCTAAAAGTTGAAGAATATGGAAATCAGGAGCACATGATCCCAAAGATGAGGGCCCTGAAGGGGTAAAATGGGAACTGGGATTGATCTATTTTTAGACTGGGAAAATGGGATTTGGGTTGCTGGGACTGAGATTTGGCCACTGGGAATGGGAAACGAAGTCCTCAAGAATTGGAATGGGATTGAGGTAATGCGAGTCGATTCCCAATTTTTCTACGTTTTAAGTATTTTAAAATACAATTTTGATCCGTTTTTCGTGTCTTTGGTCATGATTTTTGTTGTTAACTATATTATTCACAGCACTACCTGAGAACAGGCATACTCTGGCGCCCGAAATTCTGGGTTTTCTGATTATGCGTGTCTCAGAATGCTGCAAATGCCATTTCCGGGATTCAAATTTAAAAATTTTCCGTGCCTTCGGCACGAAGCTCCCACCATATTTCATAAAGTGTTCGCCACTTGCACACACGGCAGCTTAAAAGTCTTAAAACTGTTTATTGTACCGATAAATAAAGGTTTTTTTATTGACTGGGATTTCAATAACTCGGACTGGGATTTCTAATAAAAATGCAACTGGGACTGGGATTTTGCCAAAATTTCAGGTGGGAAATGGGATTGGGACCCCCCCTTCAGGACCATCAAAGATCTTTGGACGATGGATTATCATTAGAGTCCCAATTTGCCCCGAGCAGCGCCTGGCGAATGTTTCTAGGCGGCCAGGGTATTCATTAGAGACCTCGCAAATGGCAAACTTCAAATCTCATTTTAAAGGTACCACGTTTGCGACGGCTAAGTATCAAACTCGTGCTTCAAGTTTAAGTACAATTTGTCGTAACTTCCTACGGCTAACTGTTGATCTTAAAATACAATTTGAAGTTTGCCGTTAGCGGTCTGCTGTTAACGTCACTCTTTAAGTCTCTATTGCGAGTATAACACGTCAGCCAGTGAATTTAAAAGAGAAAAAACACTAGTCTTCTCGATTCATCTTTTCTTCCCTCCGCAGACGTCATTAATTGTTCTTCGGACATCTTCTAACAGCTCTAGAACTTAATCGGTATATGGTGCTGGACAGAAGTAATGCGGGAGCACGCGAACGATTATTAATAACCTCTGAGGAGGAGAGAGATTCATCTTCGTCAGAATTAAATAATTTTGCCGTTTGCCACCAAGTTGCCTAGCTGCGAGGGAGGGTTGGGAACAAATGTACGACTTTTTGTGAGAACACAATGATCTTTTGGAATTGGGTACGATGAGGTACATATATCGTTCGTTATTAACAGAGATAGAGGTGGTGGAGATAGACGTGTTTTTTTATTCTTTTAAAATTAAGTGGCTGACGTTTTCACATTCAGAACGGATTTCCTACAGACGTACGTGTACCAGATGCTACCTCAATCTTTTATGCATGTATACAATATTACAAATTACGCCGTATATAGAAGTAATATGGCATAGTATGGCGTGTAAATGCCATCATATTCGCGAGCCCAAGTCGATCAAATTCGCGTAAATAATTATTAAATATGCAAATGTTAATTTTTCATACACTCCATTTAACAGAACTGGGGGTTCATGGAGCTGCCCCATTTGAGGAATTGAGGTGAATTTTTTTAAATAAAGTCGTTAGATCATGCATATAGTGATAACTAATAAGCCTACTTCAAAAAATTATTGTTAATAATCTCTTTACAAACCTCATTTGACTAAGTGTTGTGTAAAATACAGTCACTTGACTGGAAACTTAACAAAAAACAGATCTTAATTCCCAAGTGAATAAACCATGCCTGGACATTAGTGCAACATTGGATATTAAAAACTTTGTGTTATGATTTTGGCATTTTGCTCAAACAATGTTTTCAAGTGCAGTGCAGTTGAGGAGCTACTGTTCAGTGCAGTTGAGGAGCTACTATTCATTGCAGTTGAGGAGCTACTGTTCAGTGCAGTTGAGGAGCTACTATTCAGTGCAGTTGAGGAGCTACTGTTCAGTGCAGTTGAGGAGTTACTATCCAGTGCAGTTGAGGAGCTACTGTACAGTGCAGTTGAGGAGCTACTGTTCAGTGCAGTTGAGGAGCTACTGTTCAGTGCAGTTGAGGAGCTACTGTACAGTGCAGTTGAGGAGCTACTGTTCAGTGCAGTTGAGGAGCCACTGTTCAGTGCAGTTGAGGAGCTACTGTTCAGTGCAGTTGAGGAGCTACTGTTCAGTGCAGTTGAGGAGCTACTGTTCAGTGCAGTTGAGGAGCTACTGTTCAGTGCAGTTGAGGAGCTACTGTTCAGTGCAGTTGAGGAGCTACTGTTCAGTGCAGTTGAGGAGCTAGTGTTCAGTGCAGTTGAGGAGCTACTGTTCAGTGCAGTTGAGGAGCTACTGTACAGTGCAGTTGAGGAGCCACTGTACAGTATGAAGCTTTACTGTGTCTATAGCACCTCAAAAGAAGGAAATCATATGTTAAAAAGGCCTTTAAAAGTGGCAATGATTGCAACTTATCATACAATTTGCCACTCATATCAACCCTGCATTTTTCTCCGTCTCCATTCTATGTTAACTCCACCCAATTTACAAAACTGGCCTGTTACAGTGTCAGCTGGGTAGACACAAGACCAAGCGAGTGTCAAGCAACTTTTCAAATTTTGATGATTATAATTAAAAATAATTCACCTCTGTCAGTGATGATATTTCCTGAGGGCAAAGCACCAAGGGAAATATCATCACTGAGGGTAATACTGTATTTCATTGATAGCCCCCAGGCAGGGGGTCTATAAATGATATACATGCAGTATAACACCAAAATTTAAAGTTTCTCAACTACAAACTTGCTATTTAATTTCAAGCCTATATATAAACATATGTTTCTATTTTTTGACATGGACTAGGTTTTGTTGCTACTTTCCTTTGGATTGTTGAAGGTAAGGTTCTTCATAATACTGTATTTGCTTCAAAATCTTCAATAAAAAGAGCTTTCTTCAATGCTTAATTAAAATGCATGACCATGCATGGTTTCACAACTCAAATCACCCACTCAGGTGATATGATTATAAATCACCCAGCATGTGATACAATTGACATCACCTGCTGCATCGTGACATAAGTCATGCTTTAATGATAAATTCATGCTCATGAGGCATGAACCTAGCTTTCTGATAATTGGCATGTGAGATATAATACTATTAACTATAATCTGATCTTAGTACATCTTATGGTTCATAAAATTTAAACAAATTACCTCAAGCCCTTGACATGCTCAATATCTTGGCTGGTATTAATCAACCTTATAAATTCTTCATAGGTTTCTGCATAAGCATACTCTTTCTTGTGTGATTCTGATAGCTTCTCTTTCGACTCAAGATACCATAACAGTGTTTGGTTAATGTAATCTGGGTCACATATCCTCTCGAACAGTGGTTGGAAAACTGTGTAGGCCAAAATTTCTCTAAGTAGAATCATCAAGGGTGCTGAATCTGAATTTGTTTTTGAGAGGAGTGCATAAAGCATGGCTTCTGATGCAGAGCGAAGATATTCAAGTTCAGCAGTATCGTTAGACAAACATGGGTGTAGTACAAACGGCTTGGCTGTTCCAGGAAATCGTCGCTGATCTGACAACCTAAGTTCTTGAAAATGACTGCATAATAAATTAACCAAATCATTCGACAAAAATTTCACCATGTCAACATGTTGCAATTTTGATACAAAACTGTCTGTGATATCCCATAATTCTTTAGTGAGTGTCTCTTTAAAGGCATGTTCATCCTTGCCTAAATTCTGAAACCAAGACAGACAAAAGTCTCTAATAAATAGGTCAAATACTTCTTGAATTTCCTTGTCAATAGAGTTTGTAACTATAGTTGAATGTTTATACGGCACATGGAAGTGGGTCCAAGTGACTTTGTCCATAAAATCCGACATGTCTTGAACATTCTTTGGTTTTTCCGGCATTGTTCCCTTCCTATATTTGCTGTTTCTTAAAACCAAAACAAATCCACATATTATTCCACCAATGCAGGCCAAGAATATCCGAATGGCAGGGATAGCAGAGGAGCCAAAAATTCCAGAAAATTGCAAATACATAATGGCCAATCCAACCACCGAGACGCTAATAATGTAAATATTTATCCCCATGATTTCTACCTAACTACAAAATATTGTCATATTTATTTGCAAACTTGCTGATCAATAATAAATAGCCAAGATGGGCCAGGAAATACAATTTGATATGCAAAATTGACGAAAAAATACCGGTAAAAACACTACAACTTTCTCATATCACATCAGTGCCTTTCTGCCTTTGCCATAAGTAGACTAGAAATACAGTCTTTGCAGCTATATATAATATATTAAAACTTCTTGTCATTCTAATTTCTATATCCAGTTTTTTTTATTTCACTTTTTTTATTGTTGTTTCCACTTTGAAGATTAATACCCTCTCGTTCTCAACTCTCAAGGAAAATTTGACAAATTGACAGGGAATCGAGCAGGGAATTGATTCAATTGAAATATATAAATGTTCCATTCTGATAAATCTGATATGAATCTGATTTATACTATGACTTGTAAATTACCTTAAAGATCTTTATATTGAAAAACTGGTTAAGTGAAGCCTGGTTGGCAAAGCTAAATTTAAAAAGTAAACCGAGTATTAAATATCGACCAATTTTGAAATTTCATTTTGGAAATTGGAAACATCGAATGTTATTATAATTTATGTAATTTATAAACAAAAATAAAGATGGCGGGGATTTCGCATGAAAAAGATGACAGCATGTTTGTTCCACTAAGAAAGAAACCAAAGCTTCATGGAATAGAGAGCAACTACGTTAACTCTGTTTATGAAAAGAGCTTTACAGGTGACAGAATGTCTGAATTAGATATAGAAAACCTTCGTTGGTATAATGGCATTGAAGTGAAAGGTAATAAATTATAAAATATAGTTAACTTGACATAATTTGATAAACAACAAACTTGTTCCTAGACATTACTGGAAATTCGGATTAATTAAGCACCCTTAAGCTGTGTTTATGTTGCATGCCCATAATACCTCCTCCCCAAACCAGTGTTGTGGTACTTCTGATTGGAAAGTTTGGCAATTGATTGTATGTCCGAGATTTCAAAAATTTAATAGTAAATATATTGTTGTTCTTGAAAGGGATTATCCGAAACGCACCACGTATAAAATTGAATCCATATTAAATTCATATATCAATATATTTTCGTACAAAACATCGCTTTAAAGGTGGTAATTATTCTATAGAAACAATACAAATACATTATAAACTACGCTACAAGAAACAAATTACTTTACAAATACATAGAAAACAGGACAAAAACATGCAAATGTCCCTGACTTTTGCCCTTCGTAAATATCCGAACAAACAATCAAATAATATAAAACCAACATGTGTTTTTATCACGTGATGTCCTACCCGCTCGCAGGCGATTAGGCCCTACTTTTCGGGTTCGATCCTACAAACCGGCCTCTATCGAGTATAACATAGTCGATGTACTAAAACAAGGATCTACGCCCAGCAACTGGAACAAAGTACGAGCTCGATTGGCTTCGCATAACAACAACAAATATATAAACGTTTGTATATACCAAACCTTGCGACTATTCATCGACTTCTTTCGCTTCTTTGACTAGGCACAGTTCACGGACATGTCTCTTAAATTTCCCGCCATTCGATCTAATCATAACTTGACGCACCATTCCATCCTTATCTGCAAAAACTTTCTCGACCACTGCCATATAGGCCACTGTCCTCGTGAACATCTCTTATCCACCATTAACACCAAATCTTTGACCATTAAATTCCTTCTGGGTTTCAGCCACTTCTGGCGCTGCTGCAGCTACTAGGTAGGTATTCACCCAACCATCGTTTCCAAAATGTGTTAGCTAGAAGTTGAGCTTGTCGCCACCGCTTGCTATAACGATCTTCACCAACGAACACGCATGTAGGAAGGCACAAGTTCGATCTCAAAAGAAGCAACTTGCTTGGAGTTAGTGGGTCCAAATCACATACTTGACCTTGGTTACGATTCAGGGGGCGATTGTTGAGAATTCTCTCCACCTCGACTAAGAACGTGAGAAGTGCTTCGTCATCAATAACCTGCTCGTTTGGCAGTGCAGTTAATATTCTTCGGATGGATCGAATCATGCGCTCCCACACTCCACCAGTGTGACTTGCCAATGGAGGGTTGAAATGCCACGTGATTTCTTTCATTCGCAAACGATCGTTGATCTTGGCTTGAGACTCCACTGACTGAATATTCTTGAACTCTTCCTTCAAGATTCTTGACGCTCCAATGAAATTGGTTCCATTGTCACTAAAGATTTCCTTCGGAACTCCTCGACGGGCTGTGAAGTGACTGAATGCACAGAGAAACGATTCTGCATCGAGAGAATGTGCGACTTCTATGTGAGCTGCCCGCATGGCCAAACAAGTGAAGATGCATCCGTATCTCTTGACTTGACTTCGACCTCTCTTCACCATCAAAGGACCAAAGTAATCGACTCCCGTTGACGCAAATGGATAATCTGGAACAGTTACACGAGCTGCTGGTAAAGGCGCCATTGTCTGTTCACAAGGCGACGCGTATTTCTTGCGGCATTGAACACATTTGCCAATGATCCATCGAATCCTGGAACGCCCTTGGAGGATCCAAAATTCACGCTGAATAGCCGATAAAACAGTACGAACGCCTGAGTGTCCTTCTTGCTCATGATAGTGCCGTATCAACAGTTCTACAATGTGGTGCTTGCTTGGAATGATCGCGGGATGCTTGGCGTCAAAACTTATTGATGCTCTATCCAATCGGCCACCAACTCTTAATAGACCGTCGTCTGCGAGGAAAGGAGATAATGCGGCCAATTTGCTGGATTTCTTCACAATTTTAGATGTAGATTGGCCGCTCGATCTGCGTTGAAGACGGATAATTTCATCGGGAAAGGCTTCCTGTTGTACGTACCGAATAAGTTGTTTCCTTGCATTTTGTAAATCATCGACCGTCAAAGGCCCTACGCCGGCCCCAGCGACTTCATCACGGGAACGAGTACTTATGTCCGCCTGCGTTCCATCATTCTTACAGGCCTTAAAATATCTTTTACAGGGCCGTCTGACAAAATGTCCGGTCACGTTGAATTTGGGTCGGACATATGTCCGATGACCTTCAGTTCAGTTTTGACTCGGAAATAAGTCTGAATGACACAAATGAATAAATGGTAAATGTTGTAAAGATATTAAATAATTTGTTCCTTTCATACTTATTTCCAAGCCAAAATTAACTTGCTTTCCAGGACAGCAGTATTAAAAAAAGACTTCGACAACTTAAGCCCGTTTTCCACTTCACCATTTCGCTCGCCGCCCCACGCTCGACTACGTTGATTAAAACAACATTTCCAGTTCACCTTTTATACAATAGTACTCTGATTTTCCATTTAACATACAAGCATCTAGTCCTGGGCTATGGTACATTTTGATTTACGTCGGACAAAGCTACAGTTCGGTTGGACACCAATACACTCGGGTCGGACAAACAATAAACCTCAGTTTCACCTTGGTCGGACAGAATAATAATAATAATAATAATAATAATAATCTGTTTAATTAATCACATTGCAGTCTCTACTGAATTACATGATTATAAGTAAATACATTAAAAATTAAATTTACAGATAAAATTGAGTTCAAACCGTTCAATGTTCGTTCTGAATAGTCAGTTTAAATCTGTCCACAAATTATAATTGGGTCCCTGAATTAATATAGACGAGTACTACTAAATCAATAATACATTAATAATTATTTTTGACAGTTATAAAATTTTGAAACCGTTCTGTGTTCGTTTGGAGTGACCAGCTTGATTCGGACCTAAGATTATAATTATGAGTATTTGGATGTATACGAGTTGCAACAACATCCTTAAGAGGATTTATAGGACCATTGTCAAGCTTCAATTTCCGAATAAATTGTTCACAGGAATTATGTCTACGCGTACTTAACTTTTTTAGACCAGTATAATTCAATGCGTCTTGATACGACATTTCGGGAAGCAAGATACGTAATGCTCTTCTCTGTATCGACTCGATAAGGTCAGACTGGCTTTGGGTCAGCGTTGACCACGCAGGTGAAGCGTACTCAATTCGGGACCGAATGAAGGAGGAATATATAGTGACAAGGTCTTTATCGCTTAACCCAGCCTTTTTTAACTTCCGCAATGCATAGAGTCTAGAATTTGCTTTTTTAATCACATAGTCGACATGATCACACCAAGATAGATCCTCTCTCAGTAGCACACCGAGCAGTTTAAAGGAGGATACTGATTGCACCGGCGAACCATCTATATAGATCGCATTATCAAGTGGAAGGTGGTATTGGAGGAAGGATATTGTCATCTCCTTACATTTCTTACTGTTAAGCTTCATTCCTCTACTTGAGGCATACTGAGATACATCATTTACGAGAATAGGTAGCAAGCTAGGAGAGCAACGTGGAACAATTTCTAGTGCAGTAGCATCGTCTACAAACTTTATCCGCCCATTCCAGTCCTGTAGGAGGGAATTGACTAAAATGGCAAAGAGAAGAGGGCCAAGTTTAGTTCCTTGAGGTAGGCCACCGTTAACGGGTTTCCATGAGAAAAAGGATGGCCCGATTTTAACACACTGTTCGCGGGAGGTAAGGAACGACTTTATCCATCTTATAATGGCAGGACATTCCTTTCTACGTCGGACAATTTCACGAATGGGTCGGACAATGTCCGTGACCGACCGATATTTTAAGGCCTGATTCTTATAAGAAGCAACGATAGAATTACGAACACGAAGATACAGTACTTGATGAAACGATTTAGCAGGGTTTTTTCAGGGATTTTTTAGGGCCGTAAAACGGCCCCAAAAACTCAATCTTGAATTGAGTTTTGAAACTCAATCTTCTCATCAAAAGATTCTGTGCAGTAAAACGAAGTTGTTTGAGTTAAATTCATGACGTGTGCAAATTAGTTTTCAGTTGAAAACCCGAAAATTAAGTAAAAAATGGCTGGAATTCATTTCACAACACAAGAAAAACAACGCATTCACCGTCTTTAACCAGTTTATAGTGGCCCTTAGTTCCCCTGCTTCAACACATTGCATCTCAACTACACTAAAGTGGGTACAGGTTTCAGCCTCCCGGGGGAACAGCCGCCTCAGACCCCCAGCTGTTCCTCAGACCCCCAGCTGTTCAGCTAAACTCAATCTTCTCTGCAAAAACGGACCCAAAAGAAAATCCTGAAAAAAACTCTGCCCACACGATTCCCTTTTGAAGGCGATACCAGCAAGAGTAATGTTGAATAAAGGTGTCAAGGGCTTGATTTCTTCTGTTTGTGTCTCGTAGATTTCCACCTCTCGTTTCCATTCGACTTTGTCATCAGGTAGGACATTTATTCCTTCGGGACGATTCGGCCACGTATCTTCGGTCTTACGGAGGAAATTCGGTCCGTTGATCTACTGTTCTATCTCGTGTTGGTTGGTGGGACGCAAACCTCTGGAAGCGTAATCTGCAGGATTTACTTCAGTGTTTACATATCTTCACTGCGATGGGCTTGAATTGTCGTTGATGGCGGCTATTCGGTTGGCGACGAAAGTCTTGAACCGACCAGATTCGTTGTTTATGTACTGTGGAACACAGGTAGAATCCGTTCAAAATATAGTTGCATCGATTTGCAAGTCGAGCTCTTCTCGAATTTGGCAATGTTGCTTTACGGCTACTGTCGCTGCAGTTAACTCCAATCTTGGTATTGTTGTTGGCTTCATTGGGGCTACTCTGGACTTTCCCATCACCAATGAGCAATGGATCTTGTCATTCACATCAACGAAACGAAGGTAGGACACGGCCAACCTCGTTCCCAGGCTCTTTGCTCTTGGGAAGCAAAGACCCTGGCTGGGGCTGGTCACGTGGCACGCAGATTCTGCGTGCTAAAATAAATTGTGTCTATGGGTAGGGTGGTAGAGGAGTGGTTTGTCGTGTTTGGAAAATTGCAACTTATGTGTTCTAGTTTCTGGTGATAAAAATGTAATTTGCAACAAGAAATCGTGAAATAAACTGTTTACTAAAAATTCTATTTATCATGACACGACTTCCTGCTATATCAATGTCATCAATAATGAGTGTTGAGTTACATTTCAAACAAGAAGCTGAATCATATTTCAATTGCAAGGAAAGAACACCACACGCTACCTACAGCTTGCGAAGTTGAGCACGCTTCATCGTAGAAGCTACTTTATTATATCTTCCACACCGACCGACCGATCAAACGAACGATCTGGCCGTTAAATTAAAGTGTATGCTGTCCGATATTCAAACGGATTTTTTTATAACGTGATCTTTTGGTTTCCGAAACATCGCCAACTGTTTGTAAATAATGCTACTGTATCTTGACTTGTGATAGCACAGGATTAAAACCCGTGTTCTTATGGACTATAAAATTCCTTGCATTGACATTGCTCTCTGGAAATTGCTGAAACTCAACGAGCAAGACTTATTTCGAAGTATAGCTATCTGTTTTCACCAGTGAACTCTATTGGTTATCTTATGAACGCCATTCGTTTACGCCAAGACTTCTCCGTGCGTGCTATGGCTATGCGGTACAACGATAATATACAATACAATACATACAGTTAAACATCAGACACAAGTATTTTATTTTATTTTATAGTATATTTAATATATCATGTTTTACGTGCAGCAATCTTAGCAGGCACATTATAAATCTTATAAAGACCTTTATTGGCATTGCAATTGGCCTTTTATAGCAGAATAATCCTGCTTTTTTCGACCTGAATCATGCTGCTGTGTTAATCAATATTTATATCAACTTCAATCTTCATCATATTTTAGAAGTTTTCATCCAAGTATGCTAGAGACAAACAGCCGATGTATCAATAGAAACTTTAAAATGCTTATAAAAACTTTTCGAGTAATGCTGTGTCTATGTGGGACTTATATGAATTATGTATAATATGACCCTGACAAAGTGTAGAGGCACTTTATACCGTTATAAGGTTTTATATAGGAAAGTATTTTTCTATTATATCTGCTGTTATTCTTTTGCATTCAATGCCAATGGGCAAGGTATAAAAGACGAGGGTAAATGAGTATTGAATTATATATTATAGGACATACTGTGCACTATTTTGCCATTATTATACTCGCGTGTAGACAAAATAGGAAAAGCATATTAGTTATCTAAATTCTATACTGTAGATTCCCTAACAATTTTTGTACCTTATACACTCCTTACTACCTAGTGTTTAATACAAACGATGAATTATACAATAATTTAACCTATTAAAAAAAATATGCGATGTCTATAAACAATTTTTGAATCAATAATCAATCAACAGAGATTCAATGTCCATTTGGCTTGTATCTATTTATATAAAGCGTGTGCGCGAGAAGACCTCAAAAGGAGCTACGACCTACCACAGTCCACAGTATTGTGTTGAAATTAACAAGTAAATCAATTCAAAGATAAATATACCGTTTCCAAATAACGCTAACGGCATATTATAAGAATATTATAATTATATTAAGTCTATTCAGTTGGCACAAATTACCAGACGGAGAAACATCGTCAAACCATATGAACTTTCTGGATTTAGCATACTCTGAACCACTTGACATGATCTTTCTCACCGAAACCTGGTTGTCTGACAAACATCTCGACAAAGAAATTCTTCCTTGATGACCACGTGGACACAACAACAACAACCTCGAAGCCAAATGAAACATGCAATACGTGTGATTCTAGAGATGCGGAAATTGCGAGTTTAAAAGAAAAAATTATCGAGATGAACAACGTTATCGTTCGATTGGCAAACAGGCAAAATGAAAGCGAATGTCAAACGGAGAAACACTTAAACGAATCGAAAAAAGCCATAACCGAGTTATCTAGAACAAACAACAAAATGGCGGACGAGATCGACGAACTTAAATGTGTCATTGAGCAGATTTCTGTTGACAATGATCGACTGAAAAATGTTTTGGATATGAAGCAAAATGATTGGATTGAAATTGAAAAGCAAAAAAAATCGAACGTGATCAAACCAACATCTTCAGCATCGAAACTAAACTATGCAGCTGCTGTCTCAAATAGCTTTGAAATCCTTGAGGATGAAACCTTATCAAACGAATCGTCAAATGATATCTCAATTCAAGATAGCGCAGAATCTATTAACAATATGACGATAAACACTGGAACACAGCCAGATACTCATCCAAACCAGAACACTAGAACCAAGCAAGATGAAGGCAAGAAAGATCATAACATCAGCACATCAGCACAGAGAAGTCAAGATCAACAAGATACCTTGTTAATTGGAGACTCGATGACCAAAAACATAAACAATGATAAACTTTCATATGCTGCAAAAGCAAAAACTGTTTGCAAGACGTACCGAGGTGGCAAGATAAAGGATATTCACACAAATTTACGAAAGGACTGTGGTGAAAGAAGATTACGCAGTATCATTCTTCATGTGGGTACCAACAACCTGGTATCTGATGATGCAAAGGAGGCAGCTAAGCAGATGGAGGATCTTATTGTTGAAGCTAAATCTAAAGCTGAGAATGTCGCAGTCTCAAGCGTCATAAAGAGGTATGACAATAAGGTTCCTCATTCTAAAATAACGGAATATAACAATCTAGTGCATGAATTATGCAAAAAGCACAATATAACATTTATTGACAATAGTAACATTGATCAGTCCATGTTAAACAGGTCAAATCTTCACCTAAACTATACAGGTGATAAAGCATTTGGAAAAATTTTGTGTGCATACTTAAGATCAATAAGATCTGGAAAGACCACATATGATAGTAGTACGTTTTTTCGACAAGGCAGGCGGCAATCGAGTCACCCAAAGGAGTGGACAACATGCCTAACGTATCTAGCACACGTTACAAAGATGATACAACAGTAGAAAGTAATCCATTATTACATAATAAAATAGAACATAGTCAAATACATAATGAAACAGAAATGGGTAGCGATTTTTCGGATAAAATTAATTGTCTTCCCAATCAGCGTGGATTTAAATTGGCTTTTTTAAATATAGTAAGCTTGCCAGAAAGATTTGATGAAATTAACTTAACTATGTCAAGCAAATTACTCGATATAATGTCATTTAGTGAGACCCGACTTAATTCAACCATAACTGATGGTATGATTCATATAGATGGGTATGACATTATAAGAAAAGATAGGTCTAGAAATGGTGGTGGTGTTTGCATTTATCTACGTAATTCTATAAACTATCAAATCAGACAAGATCTTATACCAGCCGATCTAGAAGCTATATGCATAGAGATAACTAAACCGCATAGCAGACCATTTGTGGTTGTTACGGTTTATAGACCCCCAGATGCTTCATCAAATTTTTTTATCCATCTTGAAAACCTATTAAAAAAGATTGATAATGAAAACAAAGAAATCTATATACTGGGTGATCTTAACTGCGACCTTTTTAAGTCTATTCCTGACCATCCAACTAAGACACTTAAATCTTTACTCGAAATTTATCAATTATCCCAGATAATTGATAAAGCCACACGGATCACTAGGACATCCTCCACACTTATTGATCATTTTATTACCAATGAACCAGGAAAAATATCCAAATGTGGTGTAATACATACTGGAATTAGTGACCACAGTCTCATTTATGGCATAAGAAAGATTAACATTCGACACAAAGATAATGATAACATAATTGAAATTAGAAATATGAAAAAATTCAATGAACAGCAGTTTTACAAGACCTAGGAACTCAAACATGGGAACATGTCTATTTTTTGCAGACAATCCTGACACTATGTGGGAAATTTGGAAACAACTTTTCTTACAAGTCCTAGATAAACATGCCCCAATTCAAAACAAAAAAACAAAATCTAAAAAAAATCCTTGGATTACTAGTCATATAAAAAAAACTAATAATTGCAAGAGATAATTTGAAAAGAAAAGCAATTATCACTAAACTTGAAACAGATTGGGATAACTATAAAAAAGCCAGAAATGTTCTAAGACAAACCAAAAAGGAATATTATTCCAATAAAATAGCGACTGAAAAGCAAGATCCAAAAGCTGCTTGGAAGACAATTAATACCTTACTTGGTAAACAAAATCAAAGAACTAAAGTAAACGAATTAAACTTAAATGGCATAAAATTAACAAGCCCTGATGAAATTTCTGAGGGCTTCAATACCTTCTTTTCAAATATTGGACCAAATTTAGCCGACGAAATTAGTACACCAGGATGTCATTCTAAAGACTTCCTTGACAAAACTAATTCTGAATTTACTGCATTCCAGTCAGTTACTGTTAGTCATGTTTGTCTTTTATAACGTGAACTGTCTGGTAGCAAAGCTACTGGCCTTGATAAAATATCCAGCAAGATAATCAAAATTGCTGCACCATTAATTTCCGATTGATTGACTTACATCTTTAATCAAGCAATAACTTTATGTACTTTTCCACATGAATGGAAAATTGCAAGGGTAATTCCCCTTTTTAAGAATGGCAAACGAAACTTGCCAGGAAATTATCGACCAATTTCTGTATTGCCAGCCATTAGTAAAATTATGGAACGTATCCTATATACTCAACTTTATGAGTATTTGAGTGCAAATAACATACATTCTGAACATCAATTTGGTTTCAGAAAATTTCATTCAACTGCAACAGCTTTACTTGATTGCACAAATGATTGGTACATAAACATGGATAGAAACTTTTTAATTTGGTTGTATTTGTAGACTTAAAAAAAGCCTTTGATACTGTTGACCATGAAATCTTATTGCAAAAACTAAAACTAGTTGGAATCACAGGAAGTGCATTTCTATTACTCAAATCATACTTAACTGGTCGTACTCAAAGATGTGAAGTCAATGGATCTATTTCAGGGGAAAACGACGTCAAATGTGGTGTACCCCAGGGGTCTATATTGGGACCACTATTCTTCTTACTCTATATTAATGATCTACCTGCATGTCTGAGTAAAACAAAACCACGGCTGTTTGCTGATGATACAAATATCACAGCAGCTGGAGAATGCTTAAGTGATCTTGAAGATGCAGTAAACTCAGATTTAGAAATGCTTCGTAAATGGCTCATGGCAAGCAAACTGAGCTTGAATGTGGCGAAAACTGAATTTCAAATTATTGCTACTAAACAGATGCTGAAGAAAGCTTTTCTGTGCAGCAACTTAAAATTCACATTCAAAACATACCCACAAAGCAGGTTTTTCAATGTAAAACACTAGGTGTGACTGTTGATGAAAATTTGTGTTGGAAGAGCAATACAGATAATATATGTAAAAAGATATCATCTGGAATATACGCTCTTAAAGCATTAAAGAATATGTTGATCAAAAAACACTCGTTTCCGTATACAATGCTATAATTCAACCATACTTTAGCTACTGTTGTGAAGTTTGGAATATATTTGGTGAAACGCAATCCACGCGTCTCCAAAAACTTCATAACAGAGCTGCTCGTTCGTGTAATAGCATGTGTGCCTAATGAGGTAGATCAACAAACTGTGCTAAATATATTAGGATGGGAACCACTCAAGGAACAAAGAGTGAAAGCAAAGGCAAAAATAATGTTTAAAACGCAAAATAACATGGGGTCAAATTGTCTCAAAGAATTATTTACTTTCAAAAAAGAAATATTAAACCGCAGTCTTCGTAACAGCTCAAGTACCATACGTTTGCCCAAGCCAAACACAAACAATATGAAATGTTTTTTACACGCCCATTGTGGAAACCAGCTTCTGCTGACAATGTTAGCGTGGTTAAATAAAGTTTATCATCATCATCAGGCCACTCCGTATTTTTTGTTTCTTGCGTTCATATATAGTTGCTTTTGGTGAGGTACTCAGTCTTAATTAATATATTGGTAATTGCACGTTGAAGCGTAGTTACGTTAGGTTGGGAAATTTGGTATTATTGTTAGTTGCACGTTTGCATGTATACTTGCTTTTGGTGAGGCAACTCGGTTTTATTGAAACTTGCATGCTGAACCGTATAGGGTTTTTTTTGTGAATGTTTATGTGTATCGTTGCTATTGGTGAGGTAACTCAGTCTTAGTATTGTTATTTGCGCGTTGAGGCGTATATATATGGTTGCTTTTGGTGAAACAATTCGGTATTCTAGTAAATTGCATTTTGAACCGTATGGTTGCTTTTGGTAAGAGAAGTTAGCATTATTGTTATACTTAACATTTATATGTATCGGTGCTTTTGGTGAGGCAACTCAGTGTTATTCTTACTTGCACGTTGAAACGCATATGGTTACGTTGGGTGAGACAACTCAGTATTATTGTTATTTACGTTGAAGCGTATATATAGCGGTTTTGGGTGAGGCAGCTCCGTATTTTTGTACTTTGCGTTCAAATGTAGAGCTGCTTTTGGTAAGGCAATCAGTCGTAATTAACATATTGGTACATGTACGTTGAAGCGTATAGTTGCTTTTGGTGAGCAATTTGGTATTATTGTTACTTGTGCGTTATCGGTGAAGTAATTCGGTATTCTGGTAACTTGCATTGACCATGTAGTTGCTTTTGGTGAGACAAATTGGTATTATTGCTATACATTAACGTTTACGTGTATAGTTGCTTTTGGTGAGGTACTCAGTCTTAATTAATATATTGGTACATGCACGTTGAAGCGTAGTTACTTTAGGTTGGACAATTTGGTATTATTGTTAGTTGCACGTTTGCATGTATAGTTGCTTTTTGTGAGGCAACTCAGTCTTATTGAAACTTGCATGCTGAACCGTATAGTTGTTTTTTGTGAATCGAATTTATTGTTACTTGCATGTTTATGTGTATCGTTGCTATTGGTAATGTAACTCAGTCTTAGTATTTTTATTTGCGCGTTGCGGCGTATATATATGGTTGCTTTTGGTGAAACAATTCGGTATTCTAGTAAATTGCATTTTGAACAGTATAGTTGCTTTTGGTGACGGAAGTTAGCATTATTGTTATACTTACACATTTATGTGTATCGGTGCTTTTGGTGAGGCAACTCAGTGTTATTCTTACTTGCACGTTGAAACGTATATGGTTACTTTGGGTGAGACAACTCAGTATTGTTGTTATTTACGTTGAAGCGTATATATAGCTGGTTTGGGTGAGGCAGCTCCGTATATTTGTACCTTGCGTTCAAATGTATAGCTGCTTTTGGTAAGGCAATCAGTCTTAATTAATATATTGGTACATGTACGTTGAAGCGTAGTTGCTTTTGGTGAGCAATTTGGTATTATTGTTACTTGTGCGTTATTGTAACTTATACGTTTACATGTATAATTGCTTTTGTTGAAGTAATTTGGTATTCTGGAAACTTGCATTGACCATGTAGTTGCTTTTGTTGAGGCAAGTTAGTATTATTGCTATACTTACACGTTTACGTGTATAGGCGCTTTAATTTGGAGAGACAACTCAGTCTTATTGGTACTTACACGTTGAAGCGTATGTTGCTTTTTGTGAGGCGAATTAGCATTCTTGTTTCTAGCACGTTATACAGTATGTACAGTTGCTTTTAGTGAGGCAACTCAGTCTTATTGGTACTTGTACATTGCAGCGTATAGTTGCTTTTTGTGAAGCGAATTAGTATTATTGTTACTTGCATATTATGCATGGCTGTACGGGCTAATCTTGTTGGGGGGGGGGCAGAGTATTAGTTTGCCCGACTATTCTTTTCACCTGATTTTTGTTGCTAATTAATATTTCTCCCGGGGGGTCGACTAAAAATTTTTCGGGACATATCAAAATATTTTTCCTAATATATATTCCGCAATTTCCGCACACATGCAAAACTTTTTCCCGACATATTAATAATTTTCGCAAGTATACAAATTTTTTTCCTGACATATATCGAAACATTTTTCCAAAACTTTTATGTTTTGCCCGAATCACGCATGGATTTGCCCGACCGTAATTTTTTTTGGGGGTGAGGGGAATATGCCCCCCCCCCCAATGCCCCCACGACGGCACATACGCCCATGATATTATGTGTATAGATCTGTATATAGTTGCTTTTGGTGAGGGAAGGTATTCAGTCTTAGTGGTACTTGCGCGTTGCAACTGGCGTATGGTTGCTTTTGGTGAGGCAATTCAGTGTTCTTGTTTTTTGCATATATGTTGAAGAGTATATGTGGTCTTTCGTAAGGCCCATCAGTATTATTCTTTCTAGTGGGCAAAGTCGTGCATGGTTTAGCTACCTATATACAGCATATATATGCATGATTTAACTAATAAGTTTACGTCATAGGGCAGCAGATCAGGCCTAGCATAAGTAGGATTGTGAGACAACTGAGTCGACCAGCGAAGGCGCTAGCCTCTAGAGGGGTCTGGGGGCGTGCCCCCCAGAAAATTTTGGAAATTTTGAAGCTCAGATATGCTATTTCCAGAATTTTGAGGAGTTTTCCAACAAGAAATTATCATTACACTATAGTCCCTGAAAATGAAACCAGCTGATCTTCTGGGACTGGTCAAATCGATCGGCCTGCAACCATCCTGTTTTTCAACATTATTTTTCTCACCAAATACTGGGCAGGATATTTTTCCCCAGTTTGTTAGTGCATGTTTTTTGTTGTTGTTCAGAATAGCCTTGCAGGACATTTTTTTCAAAATCACACCCCCCCCCCCTCAAAAGTTGAATGGTCGGCCACTTATCCAATTAAAATCAAGATTTATATTTAGAATCATGCATGTTTTTTTTACTCGGCAACCAGGTAGATTTTATGCTATTTTAGACAACACACAGCCGATTTATCCTTTAAAAGGGTCGTGAACCACGGTTGTTTAACATATTAAAATAACATAATAATAATAACATACACGTTGTTTAACATATTATAATAACATACACGGTTGTTTAACATATTATATTGTTTATTATATTACGCAAAGTAGCATCTGGTGTTCCTCAAGGTTCCATCCTTGGACCAATGCTCTTTCTTTTATATGTGAACGATCTGCCCAAGACTGTGAATACATCAAAAGTCGCTTGTTTCTCTGATGCCACGAAGATTCTGAAGCAAGCGGACAACCTGCAAGACACTGCTGGTCTTCAAAACGACATTATCAGTCTTAACGGTTGGGCTACAGATAACGGTTTGACATTCAACCAAACGAAGTGTAAGTGCCAGCGCATCACACGGAAGAAAACACCAGTTGAGTACCCCTACGCCCTGAATGGATCAGTACTTGCCGCTGCTAATCAAGAGAAAGATCTCGGTGTATGGGTGTCGAATGAGTTGTGCTGGAAGAAACAAGTTGTCGAACAGACTTCAAAAGCGAACAAACTTCTGGGATTTGTCAGGAGATCGTCCCGGGAGATACGAAACCAAAGAACAAGAAGATGTCTGTTCCTCTCTGTTGTACGACCACACCTTGGCTACGCCACCCAGATTTGGGCCCCTCAGACCATCGAGCTTATCAAGCGCGTCGAAAGAGTGCATCGTCGTGCAACAAAATTCATACTAAACCTTCCATTCCACGGCGAACTAACTTACGAGGATCGACTACAAGCTACCGATTTACTACCGATTAGTTTCTGGCATGAATATTTAGACTTGACGTTTTTCTTCAAGATGTTTAACGGGTTAGTGTGCGTCAGTGAGGAGATAATCGCTGAACGGAAGCATGGAAATATAAGAACAACGCGAGCTACGAGCAATTCTGACATCATTACGTTCAGGATTAGAAAATGCAGAACAGTAACATTCCAAGGGTCGTTCATGAATAGAACAGCAAGAGTTTGGAACGTTCTTCCTGCAGAACTGAGACATCAGTCTCTCACTTTACCAAGATTTAAATCTCTGCTGTTAAACTACTTCAAAACTGCCTTATACCTAAATGATCAACCTCAAAATCCTCGGACATGGAAGTCTATCTGCTTAAAGTGTAACACTGCTCGTAGTCTTGTTGCTTCACTCTCTTGCTGCTATTAGTGTGTCTTAGTTATTGAAATAGAAACATGATTAGGAAGGTTGTAAGTCTTAATTTTATGTTCTGTCTAAATTTGCATAGATTTGTGTCAATTTGTGCACGTCCAGGTTCTTTACTGTTTTGATCTATTTTTCGAAGTTGTCAGATCTTCCTAGAATGTTTATTAAGTTTCAATAGCTATTTTATATTCTATGAATTGTTATATGTTTTATAAAATTTGCAAGCAGCTAATTAAGTATGTTTGTGAAATACAATACAACGAAAACTTCGAGGAATTTGTTTGCTTGGCTTCAAGTTCCAATTCATGTGATGACTTTGATCAGGTAAATCGAAGTTTTCGTTGTATTTTATTTGTGTTTTATTATCTATTTAAAATTTAAAGGGCCCACAGTAATTGGTAACATATACTGTTGTGGTGACCCTGCCATGAATGCATGCATGATAATGGCGAAGTTAAATAAATAAATAAATAAATATTCTGCGGTAGCAAAAAAACAGCTGAGCATGTTTTGAAGTGCGATCCTTAATTAAAATCATCGTCCGACTACATAACTGCGATGCCAATTGACGTACGTAGCCTCAATTATCTGGTCTTGAATTATACTTTCAAGAGGACAAATAACAAGACAACTATAAAAAATATTCGATCCCTACTCGTGCTGACAAGACATTGTAGCGAGCTTTGATTTGGCGATCGCGATAATGTATAATTAAAATATCAAACTTTTTCAATATCCCCTACCGTAGGAAGAATCGCGATAATTTCACCCGTAGCAAATTAATAGAGAGGTTAAAGCCGGTTTTCCACTTCGCCCGTACCGTACCGTACCGTGACGTAACGAAAACGTTTTTAAATTTCAAAATTTCGTGAATGTTGATTGGTTAGTACTTCCGTAGTACGCCAAAAAGTTGACTTGCGACGAACTTTTTATTTTGATACCCGAATACACCCGGAAGTACGAGGATTTATAAACCTCTTTTCAATCTGCGCATGTTCGCCGTTACGTTACGGTACGATACGGGCGAAGTGGAAGGCAGCCTTAAGATACCCCGGTTCCGGTTTACGGGAACGAGTATCGCCATTTTGTTCACCAATTTTTGCTGATGTCATGATGATGATAAACTTTATTTAAAAATCACACGCTAGCATCGTCAACTTTCGCTGATTTCCACGAGGGGCGTGTCAATTACATTATAAATAGTAACAAACATTAAAAATGAACATATTTACAATAGTGAACGTAATATTATACCATAATAATTTTATTTACATTATATTATGAGAAATTGTGAGCACCAATTCGACTTTTAAATATTGGCAAGGTAGCCGAATCACGCAAGTCTTCAGGTAAGGAATTCCACAATTTCGCCCCATCGTAAGAAAAACTTTTCTTAATATTTTCAGTCCTGGGAAAAGGGATTTGCAGTGATGTAGAGGAACCCCTAAGCTCGTAATCTGTGACATCATTTTTGCGCATAAAAAGATTAACAAGTGCATTTGGGGACAAATCATTTAAAACTTTGTATATTTGTACTGCTTTAGACTTAGCTCGTTGAGACTCAAGAGTTTCCCACCCTAAGGCATAATTGCTTCTAATCCAGGGGTATCATTTGTCATACTCATTACTATTCTCGCCGCTCTATTCTGCAGTTTTTGAAGTCGAGTTGAAATTTTACCCGTGTCAGCATGTAATGTCAGCAATTTTACCCGTAATTTCTACCCGTTTTCCCGCGGTAAACGGTGGTCTACACGTAAACGACAAACGGGTACGGGTGTTTCTGTTTACTATTTTTGGGCCGTTTAAATTGTACAAATTTTCAACATCTTACCCAAATAAATAATGCAAATATGCTGGTCAAAGTTTTCAACAATTTATGGCGAACCTCAACAGCAAGAGTCGCCATTCTCTGATAGGTTTCTCACGCCGGAGAATCTTGGATTTCTTAAGTTACAGGTTACTTCCCGATTTACGGGTACGGGTACGTGTATATCATCCGTACCCGTAAACCGAAATCGGGGTATCTTAATCTCTCTAATAATAGACTTTATCTGTCCTGATTTCAACTGAATTTCGAAACCTAAAACACTAGCTTGAAATATCAGAAAGAATTTTCTCCATAGCATTATGTAACAGGGATATTTGTTATCAGAATATATACGCGGGTAAAATTATTGTTGACATTCGAGTTACGTAATTACTTCCGTCAACGAGATTGACCAATGGGACTTAAGCCGAGTTTTTTCGGTCAAAAACACATTAGCCATAACCATTTGGCCAGTAGTCGTTTCCACCCGCCCTTAACGCCTGCTACGCAGACTGGCTTTGTAGAGGACAAGGTTAATGCATAATGGCTGTTTCACTTATTAAAATGAAAGTCTTTTAGTAATTGAAACAAGCAAAGAGTCCAATAAATTTGTTCTTTTGGACGACATCAATGTCTATATTTCTCTTTCAACACAGTCTTACTGATAAAAAATCTAAAAACTTATTTAAAACATTAAAATCGTACTATTTTTAAATAAAAATTGGCGTTCTAAATTAATTTCGCTGTTATCAAAGCCGCGTCGCCAAGAGCACAACATGGAGAACATCGAATAGAGGAGAGTATATCCTGCGGGAATATCTAAAGAACAAAAAGAGCCATTAGACGTAAAGACGCAGAAAGAAGTGAAGAATCTACTAACAGTAAGAAATTTACAGTTTGTTCGTTCACACCAACCAAGTATATCAATCATGTTTTCGCTCAAATTGTAATCAAGACCCAAAGTTTCGACACTCCAGTCTAGTGTCAGCATCAGTTGGAAAGACGGGGTACTGTCTTTCTTTGACATGAGATATAGACTTGATGGACTTGGGCTACGAGAAAGGAGGGTGGTGGAATACTTCGAGAGAGGTGGAATGAAGTTGAGATTGGTTGGGGCGCTTCGATGCAATAAGACGTATGGAAAAGTCTTGGAGATTTTATGGGAACGGCATGATGTGAAACAAAATGCATCAACCTATGACGTCTGTTAGGGCGTAGATGATAAACTTGGGAAACAGCATGTCGAGCTGCATATAATACTTGTCGCAGAAGTGTGGAAACAAGTAAATATTCTAGTAAACTTAGCATGCTCGCAAACCATAGTATTCTAGTTATACCATGCATTAAGGCCTGTTTACACTTGAAACTTATGCTCCAAATTATGTCATGATTTTCGTCTTCTGACGCATGTGAACGAGTAGATGAGTATGAATGTTCTGAGTATATGTACCACGAATCTCAACATTCATAACTCTTCTACTCGTTCACATCCATCAGAAGAAGAAACTTTTTTCTTTTTTTTTATTTAAACGTATTTTTTTTAAAAAATGACGTTTGCCCAAGAGCTATGAAGCTCATCGAGGGGTTTACGTCATAAAAACATTCACATAATTTTTTTAAAAAGAACAAGAAGGGAGTAAATGGAAATTACGACACGAAGCTGGAACAACTGAAGGATTTTCACTAACTTTGCCAAAAACGTTCTGATAACTTAATATATTGCTGAACATTTTAAAATATTTCTATGTTATCATCTATACTTAAATTTGGTTCACCAAACAATAATAAATGTACTTTTTGAGAAGCCGACAAACGATTCCAGCCCCGACCGTACACTTGTGCAGCAACCGAGAGCAAGGACAACCTCAGAGCAGAATATCGGCGACACTACAGTTTAAAAGAATTAATTGATAAATTATTACGTTCTACATAGTCAATGCTATTCCATAGCAAAGTTGTTGAAGGAAAAAAGGATGTTTTAAATCTTTCTGTTTTAGTCGGAAAAGTAGTTAAATTTGATGCAAAACGCAAAACTAAACCGGACCTTTGTTGTACTGTCTAAGGTAATAAAACGGACAAATAACCTGGAGTGAGGTGATTTACAATTTTGAAAAACAAGACAAGCTCATGTATAAGTCGCCTAGTTCCCATATCTTCCAAAGCTAGCTCTTCCAATACCCTTGATTTGCTTGTTCCCTTCATAGCACCGGTGACCACCTTTGCAGCTTCATACTGAACATGTTCTAAAAGATCACTTTCAATAACGGAGCAGCCATCCCAAAGTACATCGGTACACTCCATTACAGGTCTAATGATACATTTGTACAATTTTGATAACGTCTCACTACTTAATTTGAATTTCAGGCCATTTAAAAGGTTTAATTTTTTTGAAGCACTCTCATAAAACATTAAAAAATTTGAGCCCTCCAAGAAAGATTAGAACAAAGAGTAACTCCCAAATGTGTATGGTTACTAACATTTTCTATTATTTAATTATTAAAATATATATTTGGATGAATTGGCTAATTAACGTTAGTGTTCTAGTAAACATTAGTATTACTATTTCGGTTAAGATTTAATTGGGCCACTCAGGACCAGCGAACAGGAAACAGCTACATAGCCACTACGACTGACTACATCTCTAAATGGCCACAAGCACATGCCATTCCAAACAAGAGTGCGGAGTGTGTTTCAGACGTCTTGTTTAAGATGATACTATTGTGACCGGGACGTAATAGATTCGTGAAAAATGTTTATAATTTTCTTTTATTTTGAACATGTACCCCAAAATACGAGGGCGACGGTTACAAGCTATAAAAGTTAATGCAATATAACTAAGTAAACAAAATATTAAAATACACACTTCCTGTATCCTACAAAACATGCCGATTTATCAAATACAAAGTAATATATCTCCCAAAAGTTGATGAAATAAAATGATGAATAAATGATGATAAATGATGTTGATTAAATATCTCCGTCTATAATGTCAAACTTAAGACAAATCATGCACCGTTCTAAAGAACTATTTACATAAATACTCAAAATGACCATATTTAACAGCTATTACGATTAATATATTCATGCGTATATTTTTATACCTTTAACATGATTATAATACATCAATACTTCTATAATTACTGGATAATAACGTTAACTTACCGGGCAACTGCCCGAGAATGTTAATTCCCTTTTACTGTTGTTCTTTTCTTCGATATAAATGTTTCTTTGACGATAAAATACTGAATAATATCTTTTGAAATCGCTTTTATATTTGTTCAACTGCATTTTGCAGCATGGCGTGTTCATGACGTCACAGGAAGTGATCATAACAGGAAGTTAACTAACAACAACTATTAAGGTGTCTCTGAGTCTCTCTACAGTTTATTCAACCTGGCCACACTCTCCCCTGCTAACAAGGTGTCGTCCTCGACCTAACTATATAACTGCAGAGAACACGGAAATGCCAGTTATAAGCACACATATAACTAGGACATAAACATTAAAGTCTCGATACGATACCGTCAGTTGATTGCATGTTGGATTTGATTTGCTTTGGTGGGTGTTCTGTCTTTTCGCCGCTATCCGTTTCGATCTTCGGAGAGTTGTTGCTGGATCGTTGTCTGGCGTTGCTTGAATTTGTTCGCCTTTGGATGTGGATATGTGATGCTTTCTGGGTGACGAAGGGGTATTAACGAGCAACATAAACTCCGATTCAGTGTCAGTTGAGGACGCATCTTCATGAATGGCTCGGTTGGGAACGCACTTAATCGTCGTTGGTTGTATCGGTTGAGGAGGGTCACTCTTCATGGGGCATGGTTGTAGTTCAACACGACTGACCTTCTTTGGGGCACCTCGACCACTATAGGGTACGACAGTATATGGTCCACCATCTTTGGTCGGTACTTCAGTCACGATAAACATGGTAGGTTCCCATGCATCTTGGATCTTGTTTCGCCCCAAAACTCTTTTTCGTAGGTACACTAACTCCCCCACTTTGATATCTGGCGCATACACCTTTGAATCGTTTCTTTGCTTTCTCTTCTCTGCTGACTCGCGTATATGCTCCCCTGCTTTTTTCCCAAGCGTACCGTAGGCGGGTTTGATGTTTAGTAAGCCACTCATTTGCAGACTGTTTCTGAGGTTCATCCTCTTCTTCTCCGAGGAGTAAGTCAACTGGTAACCTTGGTGATCTCCCGAAAAGAAGATGATATGGGCTGTAACCGGTTGTACCATGCGGGGTACAGTTATAGGCATACAGTAACTCAGGAAGGTACTCGGTTCATCGACGTTTCTTTTGAGGAGGCAAGCTCTTAAGCAAATCATGAAGTGTGCGGTTAAACGTTTCACATTGTGCGTTGCCTTGTGGGTGGTAAGGTGTTGTGCGGCTCTTCTTTATACCATAAATTCGACACAGTTCCTGAACGATTGCACTCTCGAAATTCCTGCCTTGGTCCGAATGGATCCGTTCCGGTGCCGTACTTTTGAAACCACTCCTTTACAAGCATTTTGGCAACTGTGGATGCTTTTTGATCTTTCGTGGGTACTGCTAACGAAAACTTAGTGAAAACGTCAGTCATTACCAGTACATTTTCTTTTCCATCACTCGAACGTTCCAACAACGTAAAGTCAATGGCAAGAACTGACAGGGGTTGTTCGGTAATAAGGTGCCCCATTGGTGTTCGAATACGCGGTTGTGGCATTTTGGACAAAACACATCGTTCACAAGCCTTGATCCATTTCTCGACATCTGTGTACATACCTGGCCAGTAGCATCGAGATCTAGCTAGTAGAATAGTTCTCTCTAAGCCCTGATGTCCCATGTCGTTGTGAAGACTGCGAATTACTCTCTCCTTTAGAATCTCAGGTAGCACCAACTGTTGTACCTCCTGCTTTTGTGGATCAATAATCGTTCGGTACAATACTCCGTCCTTCAGTTCTAACCGTTTCCATTGCTGTAACAAGACACGGGTACCAATAGTGAGATCTTTCTTCTCCTTTGCATCGGGTTTCCTACCAACTGTCCAAAATTTCAGGAATGCGCTTATCGTTGGATCACTTTGTTGCATCTGCATTAACTCGGACTTGGAGTAACTTGGAAATGACTTCGTTCCTGACTTAGGTACGTTATGTTCTGTGTTGATAACGTTGTTTGCCACATACGTTTGCTGAGGACCTTCAATGGTTATGTTTGCACTTTTTTCCAAAGTGGCAGTAGCTAGGTGGGGTGGGAAGGCTGTTGTATTGGAGAAATGAGCCAAGGTATTCGTTACTTCCACCACCGACGAAAGTTTGTCTGGGCAATCATGGTGAGGGAGCCGCGACAATGCGTCGGCATTAGCATTCGATTTTCCCGAGCGATAAACAATGTCAAATTTGAAAGATGCCAACTGCGAAGCCCATCGTTGTTCTACTGCTCCAAGTTTTGCCGTTTGAAGATATTTCAGGGGATTATTGTCAGTATAAATGGTGAAGTTGCTTCCTAACAGATAACTGCGGAACTTGTCGGTTACGGCACATTTCAAAGCCAACATTTCTAACTTCATGGAGCTATAATTGTCCATATTGCGTTCGGTTGGTCTTAGTCGTCTACTTGCGTACGCAATAACACGTCTCTTTCCTTGAAGTTCTTGGGAAAGAACCGCACCAAGTCGGACGAATGCTGATTGGAATCGCTATAAACAACAATGTTATGCTGTAAATAAACTTATCGACTCCTCAAAATCGGCTTACTATACCGACTTAATTAATAATGGATCATCTGATCAAAAAACCCTTTTCAAGACTGTAAGCAATTTGCTGCATACAAATACGATTATTCGCTATCCATCTTCTCCTGACCCAATGTCACTTGCCAACTCATTTAGTGATTTCTTCACTCAGAAAATTGTTAAAATACGAGGTGATATCGAAGATGAACTCTTGAGTAAAAACATAGAAAATCCTATACCTGATGCTGATTCATGTCCTTATGAATTTCACACCTTCAGGGAGGTTGGAAAAGACGAAGTGCTCCATTTAATCCAACGTATCGCAACTAAATCCTGTTCTCTGGATCCACTCCCGGTGGTCATGCTAAATCACTGTTTTAAAGACATCTTACCCGTTGTAGTTAGAATAATCAACCTCTCCTTGGAAAGTGGTACAATGCCTGACTCTTTGAAGATTGCTGTTGTTCAACCGCTATTAAAAAAGTACAATCTTTCCTATGAAGAATTCTGCAGTTTTCGTCCAATATCAAATCTGAAATTTGTCTCGAAATCTATTGAGAAAGCAGTTGCTGTACAATTAACTGATTATCTTACTGAAAATCATCTACATGAGAAATTCCAGTCTGCTTATAAACCTTGTCATAGTACTGAAACAGCGCTATTGAGGGTTCAAAATGATATCCTTCAAGCTCTAGATAACGGTGATTCTGTTATTCTTGTCCTACTGGATCTGTCGGCGGCTTTTGACACCGTGGATCATTTAATGTTATTAACAAGACTATCGAAACGCTTTGGCATAAGGGGTCGTGTGTTGGATTGGCTTACCTCATACCTTACATCCAGGAAACTGTTTATTCGTGTTGAGGGAACTGATTCGTTATTGAGTGATCTTGATTGTGGTGTACCTCAGGGATCTGTGTTGGGTCCTCTGTTGTATTCACTCTATACTGCCCCTCTCGCGGATGTGGCTAGGCGCCACAATCTGCGCTTTCACTTTTTTTCTGATGATGGGCAACTTTACATTGCATTCAAAACGAATGATCGTGATGATTTAATATCATCTAAGATCCGTATGGAGAAATGTATACTTGAATTGGGAAACTGGTTGATGTTGAATAAATTGAAACTAAATAGTGGCAAAACGGAGCTTATATTAGTCCATTCACGCTATCATCTGATGCCTCCCTTAAATTATATCATGGTGGGAAAGGAAAAAATTGTGCCAACTGTTTCAGCAAGAAATCTGGGGGTGATTTTTGATGAGTGGATCAGATTGGGCGAACATATTAATGGTATCTGCAAGTCAGCTTACTACCATATTAGGGATATTTCAAGAATTAAGAAGTATCTACCTCGAAATTGCTTAGAAATAATTATTCATGCATTTATAACTTCAAGACTGGATTATTGTAACTCCCTGTTGTATGGTGTACCCAAATATTTGCTTCAGAAGCTTCAGAGAGTCCAAAATACTGCAGCTCGTTTACTAACTGATACTAAGAAATCGGCGCATATCACCCCAGTTCTTATCGAATTGCATTGGTTACCTGTCCAATACCGTATTCAATTCAAGATTATACTTCTTGTCTACAAAGCTGTTAATGATCTTGCTCCATCGTATCTGAAGGAACTTATGCTGTGTCGTACTTCGCAGCGTACTCTTCGATCAAATGGAAATGAATTGCTGCAGATTCCTTATTCTAGACTAAAGACATACGGAGACAGATCGTTCTGTGTTGCTGGACCAAGATTGTGGAATGATTTACCTGTTCATCTTCGGATGTGTGAATCATTAACCATTTTTAAGAAGTTTCTTAAAACATATCTTTTTAACTTGTTTTTAAATAGTGTATGATGTATTCTATAGTTTTAACAGTCTTAACACTAGTTTTTAAGATTGGATTTTGTATTACTGTAAAGCGCCTAGAAAAGTCTTGGTTTGTGCGCTATATAAATGTTTATTATTATTATTATTATTATTATTAAGTCCTTGGTGGCTAGCATCAGTCTCGAGTATGAATGGTTGCGAGAAGTCTGCATATCCCAATACTGGTGCAGTTGTCAACAAATGCTTAAGCCTATCGAAGGCTTGTTGATGAACAATTTTCCAACGCTTTGGGAAGGGTACTAACAGACGTTTCTTTAGTTTCAGTTCGTGTAAACAACGGTTCTGTAATTCATGCAGTGGCTCAGCGACCTTGGAGAAATCTTTACGAAGCGACGATAGTAGCTAGCAAATCCAAGAAACGAACAAAGTTCTTTTACAGCCTTGGGTACCGGCCAATTTTTCACCACGGATATTTTGTCAGGGCCAGTCGAGACACCGTCAGATGAAACCACATATCCCAGATACGAAACTTCTTTTCTAAGAAAACTGCATTTCTCTCGCTTTATCTTTAACCCATGTTGCGCTAGCTTCGTTAAAACTTTTTCCAGTCTTTCCAAGTGTTCGTCAAATGTTTTTGAGAAAACAATAACGTCATCGAGGTAAACCAACAACAGTTGATAGATCTGGTCGTGAAGGCAGCTTTGCATCAGTCGCTGAAACATTGCAGGGGCACCACAGAGGCCAAACGGCATTCGATTATATTCAAACAGGCCAAACGGAGTAGTGAATGCGGTCTTCGGTTTGTCTTCCTCTTCGACTGCGACCTGATTAAAACCGCTTGCAAGATCTAATGTTGTAAACCACTGTGCACCATTGAGAGCATCAAGTGACTCGTCTATCCGGGGTAAAGGGAATGAGTCCTTTTGCGTTCTTAAGTTGAGCTTTCGATAATCAACGCACAGGCGAAGGGTGCCGTTCTTCTTTCTCACTAACACAATAGGAGATGCATAAGGGCTGTGACTTTCTCGAATGACTGAGCTATCAAGTAATTTCTGAATGTGTTCCTTCACCTCTTGGTATTGATTTGGAGGAATTCGTCTGTAGGGTTGCGTAACCGGGATGTCATCCTCCGTCCTAATTTTGTGTTTAACCGTCTCCGTGTAGCCAATGTCATCGTCTGACTTTGAAAATACGGAAGCATGCTTGTTCAACAGTGCGTGCAGCTTTTCTTGCTGCTCTGGGGAAAGTCCGTTGCAAGGACATTCAGTATTGTCCACGACGTCTGGAATTGATGTGTTCTCGCTATCTTGCACCGTAACCATTTCTTCGTTGACTGACACTCTCTTGAATTCCACACCACTTTCGATGTTGTAAAACTGCATGAAGAACACCTATCCTTGTCCTTGGCTGGATCCACAAATCGTCATTGGTTAGATTTGCAACTCTCACACAGCAGGGGGATGACGGTCTCACGAGGGTGTTGAGTACCACTAGGTGCGACAAATGTTGTCCAACAACTGGTTCCACCATTGCCATCTCGCACTTCACTTGACCACCCCAACCAGTGGCAGGTATTGTTGTTACCGAACTAGCTGGGATCCGTACTGCACGCTTTCCTGCAACTCGAACGATACCTCGTACTGATGTATTCGCACGACGTTTAGCAGCCTGGATTGGCTGTGACCATACAGGATCAACTTTACTTAAAAACTCCGTTCCCTCGAACTTAGCTAACACTTGTCCCATTTCACATAGTACATTCATTCCAAGGAAACCTGGTACGTCTCTCTTCCGGGCTCTTATAGCATCATTGGCAAAATCCTTTACGACCAGTATTCCTCGTCTGGGCACGTTTAAGCCGAAAGCTTCAATGTCAAGTTCGAAATACCCAATGTAGGGTATTTCTAACCCATTTGCTGCTGTCAGTTTTAACCACCCACTGGTTGAAAGTAGTTCCTGTCCCTTTGGTTTAAAATGAGTATTAAAGAATTCTTCTGTAATAGTAGAGACCTCAGAGCCTGAATCAAGTAAATATGATACAGACACGCCTCCAATGTTCACAACAGCAACAGGACACTTGCCAATTATTCTTTCTGGTATGCTATGAGAGTCTGCGCCTTCCCCTCCTACTGTCCGACTCGCGACTGTGGAGGGAGACCGTTTGGCGCTGATGTATCTTGGCTATGGACATACGATGAGGGTGGGGCAGTATTGCGTGGTGGGCCATTTGATGGGGGAAGGCCGTCATTCTGGCGTTGACTTGTGTTATTCACACAATCTCTTGCAATGTGTCCGACTCCTTGGCATTTAAAACAAATTCTGTTCCCTCTTTCGTCAAAACCGCGTAGAGAGGGGTTTCGGCCGCCTCTTCCTCCCTGATTCCGCTGAATATTATTGTTGGATCTGGAAAGGGAAATAAGGGTTTGGGACAAATTATCAATCGACTTACGCTGCTCTTCGAGGGCTTGCAATACTTTATCCATCTCTTTGTTTGACTGTGTGGTTGAAACTGCTTCACTTGATACATTTCTTTTTGTAGGACGCATCTTTTCATTCTCCTCTGCCCAGTGTAGAGCTTCTTCTCGTACTTCTAGAAACTTAGAGCTGGAGTTGCTTCGTACCATGCGCTTTAATTCCTTCCGTAGAAGTGGGTCTCTCACGTTGTCACCAAATTGGTCGCGGAGGGCCTGATCACGAGAAGGTATGATGGTGGTGTCTCGCGAATAAATTCGGTTGTAAATCTCACACAGCGCATGCGAGAACTCCCTCAGGGTTTTTGTATCCTTTTGCTTTCGCTCGTAGAATGACTTTAGTAACTGTGGTGTGGTTCTCCGCTCGCCAAAAGCCTCCAATAAGATATTGCAGATTTTATCAGAAGTGTCACGTTTGGCTGTAGGGCGCAATTTGACTTCTACCTTCGCTGATGATTCCAACAGTGATAACACAAAGTCTGTTTGTTCAAATTGGGTCATTTTCCTAGCTGGTATCAAACTTTTCACATTGTCAACAAAATTCTCCACTGTATCTTCATCTGCCTTTCGACTACCAGAAAACTTCTGTATTTTACGCTCTCGGGAAACATACACAACTTGGGGTGTCTGTGCTGGACTAGATGGTGCATTCTTACTTGAAGTACTAGCCTCGCCCTGGCTAACAGTTACTGCTGAAAGTGCTTGTTTTGTGTGTTTATTCTCATTTTTTAACTTTTCGATTTCAGCCATTAAGGTTTCCAATAAAGAGTTGTCCTCTCCGCCTTGGGCCGTTGCCTCAGCAACATCGCCGCCCTCGTTTTGCTCCTCATCAGACATAGTATTTTAATATTTTACTGCACGAATGTTCAAAATAATCCTGCCGACTACGCCAAATGTGACCGGGACGTAATAGATTCGTGAAAAATGTTTATAATTTTCTTTTATTTTGAACATGTACCCCAAAATACGAGGGCGACGGTTACAAGCTATAAAAGTTAATGCAATATAACTAAGTAAACAAAATATTAAAATACACACTTCCTGTATCCTACAATAAACATTCCGATTTATCAAATACAAAGTAATATATCTCCCAAAAGTTGATGAAACCATAAATATCTCCGTCTATAATGTCAAACTTAAGACAAATCATGCACCGTTCTAAAGAACTATTTACATAAATACTCAAAATGACCATACTTAACAGCTATTACGATTAATATATTCATGCGTATATTTTTATACCTTTAACATGATTATAATACATCAATACTTCTATAATTACTGGATAATAACGTTAACTTACCGGGCAACTGCCCGAGAATGTTAATTCCCTTTTACTGTTGTTCTTTTCTTCGATATAAATGTTTCTTTGACGATAAAATACTGAATAATATCTTTTGAAATCGCTTTTATATTTGTTCAACTGCATTTTGCAGCATGGCGTGTTCATGACGTCACAGGAAGTAATCATAACAGGAAGTTAACTAACAACAACTATTAAGGTGTCTCTGAGTCTCTCTACAGTTTATTCAACCTGGCCACACTATAATACGGGTGTATGGCCCACATCGTAATCAGTGATCAGGGGAAGGAATTTGTTAACGAGGTGCTGAAACTTGTCTTGTATAACATGCTCATGTTAGAGGTTAGACTAAGGGACCAATCACTATTTATAACTGGGGGTGGGCTGGCAAAATTTAATTAACTAGTAAACAAAATGTGCTGCCCCACCCCCAGCATCACAAAAAAATTCAATGACCCCCTTCGCTTGAATTCTAAAAAGTAGTAACACCTCCCGACAATATAACAAATGTATAGTACTGTATAGAAATGAGTTCTTTAAACTTGTTGTAAAAGGCATCGGATCTTTTATTTACTTGTGCTTTCAACAATTAATATGCATGCCTATTTAAGCCATTAAGCTGCAGAGTTTCCTGTTGACGAGTAGAATCGTCTGGCATTAAGCAAGTAACAAAAAATACGTACTGGGGTGCAATGGGTTAACAAGAGACATTGTCAGATTTTTTGGTTAACCCATTAAGCTGCAGGGTGCCGAAGAGGCTAAAGCTGGGGGTCATACCATTTTTTACTACCTAGAGTGTAGTGAAAAGTTGCTCAAAAAGAAAAAAGTTGCTTGAAGTTGGTTGAGCTGAAAAAGTTGTTCTAAACGCAAAACGTCGCTCGAACGTTGCCGAGCATAATCGGGACACGCCTAGCAGAGCTTTCCCGTTGACGAGTAGAAACAGTTAGGAGTAGGATTAGGGTTTCAGTGCCATAGTACGCTCTTTTAATTGGGAAGGTGAAAGCGAGGGCCAATGGCCCGAGGAAATTTATACATTTAGAGTCTTTGAAATGCCAATTCCTGCACTTTGGGGAAGATTTGACAGAATTCTGATGGTCAAAAAACAGCTTTTTAGTATGTCGAAATTTACAATTTAGTAGCACTAAATGGGCGAAGGCGTATTTAATTAAATATAGATTTGATAAATTGCAGGAAAGTATGAGAAATATCTTCATTCTTTGCAGTTTGTCATGGATAATGCAGCCGCTTAAAATTAATCAATTGTCAGTATTTTAAAGGTATATTATTTAAATGATAAAGGTCTGCGTGATTTTGGAAAAAGAATGATTATTAGTAAGTTATTGGGGG